TACCCACTACTGTCATATCTAAATGGCATGTTTACCCACTACTGTTCATATTCTAAGTGACATGTTTACCACATACTGTTCATATCTAAGTGACATGTTTACCCACTACTGTTCATATCTAAGTGACATATTTACCCACTACTGTTCATATCTAAATGACATGTTTACCACTACTGTTCATATCTAAGTGACATGTTTACCCACCTACTGTTCATATCCTAAGTGATATGTTTACCACCTACTGTTCATATCCTAAATGGCATGTTTGCCACCTACTGTTCATATCCTAAGTGACATGTTTACCACCTACTGTTCATATCCTAAATGGCATGTTTACCCACCTACTGTTCATATCCTAAATGGCATGTTTACCCACCTACTGTTCATATCCTAAGTGACATGTTTACCCACCTACTGTTCATATCCTAAGTGACATGTTTACCCACCTACTGTTCATATCCTAAATGGCATGTTTACCACCTACTGTTCATATCCTAAGTGACATGTTTACCCACCTACTGTTCATATCCTAAGTGACATGTTTACCACCTACTGTTCATATCCTAAGTGACATGTTTACCACATACTGTTCATATCCTAAATGGCATGTTTACCACCTACTGTTCATATCCTAAGTGACATGTTTACCACCTACTGTTCATATCCTAAATGACATGTTTACCCACCTCCTGTTCATAGCCTAAATGGCATGTTTACCACCTATTGTTTATATCTTAAGTGACATGTTTACCACCTACTGTTCATATCCTAAATGACATGTTTACCCACCTACTGTTCATATCCTAAGTGATATGTTTACCACCTACTGTTCATATCCTAAATGGCATGTTTACCACCTACAGTTCATATCCTAAGTGACATGTTTACCACCTACTGTTCATATCCTAAATGGCATGTTTACCACCTACTGTTCATATCCTAAATGGCATATTTACCACCTACTGTTCATATCCTTAATGACATGTTTACCACCTACTGTTCATATCCGAAATGACATGTTTACCACCTACTGTTCATATCCTAAATGGCATGTTTACCCACCTACTGTTCATATCCTAAATGGTATGTTTACTACCTACTGTTCATATCCTAAATGGTATGTTTACCACCTACTGTTCATATCCTAAATGGCATGTTTACCACCTCC